TTTGCCCCCCACCCACCAGTCCCTCCCGCGCTGGTGGAACGACAGCAGCGCCTGGCGAGGCAGAGAGCATTTGCCGTGGTTTCGAATGATTTCAGAGCTTTGGGAAAGCATCTGGTGGTGGTGGTCCTGTCTGCTCCATGCCTCGCTCCTCCGTCCTCCGACCACCAGTTTGAGCCCGCTGAGTCCCAGGAGCCGGAAAGCAAACGGCTGGTGGGCTGATCCTGAGTCCTGGCCAGGATCTTCCTCAGCGGAGGAGCGTGGTCAGGTCAGGGCTGCTTCCCAGAGCCTGGGAGAGAAGAGCTGCAGGGCCGGGAAGGTCTCTGCGTGCTCCTGGAGAAGCAGAAAGTCCCCTTTTGGTGGAGATGCTGCAGGGTCAGGGCTCCTCTGCATCTCCTGGCCTTGGGCAGATGGCTCTCCATGGTGTCTCCTGCCATTTGCCACCACTGTGTGTTGGCTTTGACTCCTTCTCCTGGGACAGCGCCCAGACTGGAGGTTCTCCAACTCAGGGTTCTCCAACTCAGGGTTCTCCATGCTCAGGGTTCTCCAAATCCCTCAACCCCTTGCAGCAGAAGACCTCGGTTGCCCTCGGCAGCTCAATGCCTTTTAAACCAGCCACCAGCTTCATCCATGGGATGCCACCAGCCCTCCAAGCCTTCGAGGGGGCTTGGGCAGGTGTTGCCCCAGGATCCAGAAGCTGACAGGAGAATCAAAGCATCGAGGAGCTGGAGAGGACGGCGATGAGGGCTCGTAAAAGCCGAGGAGCTTGGCGGGGTGGAGGTTGTGGACATGGGAGAGGGTGCCGCTGCCTGGCTCGGCCCACAACCCAGATCCAGCGCACCAGATAGCGCATTTATTACTCACTCCTATACCTTGAAGTTGTCATGAGGGAGCCTTTGAAGAGCAGACATAGATTTGCACGTTGATAAGACCGAGGAGGAAAAAAAAAAATAATCCCAAAGCTCTGGAGCCTTTTTAAGCAGCTCTTAGCACCAAAGCTGGGGTGAAACTGGGCAAAATTCAGACCCAGGTCTCTCCTCTGACCTGGACCAAGCTTTCCAACGAGCTCAGCACTCGCGGTCTCCTGTCGAGACAGACGTATCTTTGCTCTCCCGTTCCCAAATGTGTGTTCCCCACGTCCTCTGCGATTTGTACAATGGGCTTGGGGTTCACAGAATCACAGAATCACAGAATAGTAGGGGTTGGAAGGGACCTCTGTGGGTCATCTAGTCCAACCCTCCTGCTGAAGCAGGGTCACCTACAGCAGGCTGCACAGGACCTTGTCCAGGCGGGTCTTGAATATCTCCAGAGAAGGAGACTCCACAGCCTCCCTGGGCAGCCTGGGCCAGGGCTCCGTCACCCTCAGAGGGAAGAAGTTCTTCCTCGGGTTCTGCTGGAGATTCCTCTGCTCCAGTTTGTGCCCGTTGCCCCTTGTCCTGAATTCACCTCGAATTTACCGCCTGCAGAGAAACCCAGGAGCTGCTGCTTGCGCAGGGCCAGCTTTGACGTTTACGTTCAAGGTTGTCACAACCGGCCCCACGCCGAGCCTCCCTTCTCCCTCTCCTACCCCAACGCCACGTGGCTTTAACAAAAAACCACCAAAAAAAAAAAAGGCAAAAAATAACAGGAGATGATTGCAAGGAGCTACGTGAGGCTGAGCCCCTTCTCAAGCCGTCTTTTCCCCGCTGCCCAGGTTCAGACTCCAAGATGCGGGAGGTGTGCGCCGGCTGCGACACCCCCATCTCCGACCGCTTCCTCCTGCGAGTCAACGAGCGCTCCTGGCACGAAGGCTGCGTGAAATGCGCCGTCTGCCTGCAGCCGCTCTCCGGGACCTGCTACTGCCGGAACCGGCAGCACATCTCGACTACGAGAAGTAAGTGGCCACCGCTTTTTCTCTGGTTCTTCTCTGGTTTTTTCCTTCCCTCTCGGCTCTGTTTCGACCGTGGGGTGGGTTTGGTTGCGAGGTGGGGGGTTCTGGAAGGGGGAGGTTGGGAAAGGGCGTTGTGGTGTCGGTGTCACATAGGCTGGCGAGGACGAGGTGAGATGCTGAGGACCACAGAGGTGTCCTGCCAAGGGATGCTGTCCAAATAGAGGGACGGAAGTGTCGAGCTTTGATTGAACGTGGTGACGTGGTGGGGATGAAGAGGAAGAAGGGATGAGCTGTTGGCTGAAGAGGCAGAGAGGGTGAGCTGTTGGCTGTTGGGGTGCTTTTCCAAGCAATGAGGGATGTCCAAGGCTGCCCAGGAGCTGACAGCACTCCACGCCTTGTCCTTGTAGGACACACGGTCCAGCAGATTTCACAGAATCACAGAATGGTCGGGGTTGGAAGGGACCTCTGTGGGTCACCCAGTCCAAC